AAGCGATGCCATAGAAGAACCATTTTTGGTTCCACAAAGAATCATTCAGTCAAAGGTTCTTTAAAGAACCATTTATTTCTTACCTTTTTATAATCTGGAGAACCTTCTTTTGCCCCAAAGAAACAGAAAGGTTCTTCAGACACAAAGGTTCTTCTGTGGCATCGTGAAGCAGCTTTATTTTTAAGAGTGTGTGATGTTCGATAAAACAATAGCTTTAATCTCTCTGCGACAGGATTGTTCAGTTCATTTGTAACTTGGTGGTTCTATGAGAGTTATTTATATTAGAAATGTTTAAATGTGTCTGCAGGCAGCAGAGTAAAGATGCAGAAACCGAACCTCAACCTGTTCAAAACATTGATTTATTCAGGATCGAAACAACTGTCTTTGTTAGCCAGTCATTGAAATGTTAGGTTTTTTATTCAAAAGCATTGCTGCAGTGAGGAAAGGCTGAGTAAGTCACTCATAGTGTTGATTTTACATTTACACAAAAAGAGTTTGGTTTATGAGTAACGCATCCAACCATTTTTAGTGCTATATCAGTGCTGTGTTTCGCTCAAACCTCACTCTGATTCCAGCGCATTGCTGTTAATAAACCGAAGCAGAACATGTATTTGTCGGAATGCTAGTATATTGTAACGAGTTAATATTCTGCTTTTATTTACTGAAAAAACCCCTAAACGTCAGAATCGTGATCTCCATTTTAAGCACAGTTTATCCAGCCTCTTGCAGATTTGTATTTTAGAATTTTAGGCTATTATTATTATTATTATTATTATTATTATGAGGGGACACATATTTATGAATGGAACATGTCTAACTGTAGCGTGTAATGTTGTGTCGCACACACGCTTGATATCTGACAGCTGTTGAACTATTGAGCTGGTTTTAAAAAATAAAAAATAAATAAGCTTATGTGTCTCCAAGCAACTAATTGTTGTATAATAACATTTATAATTCTGGAACCTTTGCAAAACCTGGCCCTAAGTGAGCGTTTTAGAAAATGTCTTAGTATGACTGACAGTGGATTTGCATGAAGTCCAACAATGAAAGTTGACATGCTACTAAAACTAATCATCTGAACCCAGATGTTTTGACAGAAAACTGACAGATTACATACTCCATGAATGATATCGAATAGCACATTATATCCACTCTAAAATGCACTGTGTGTGTGTGTGTGTGTGTGAGTGTGAGAGAGAGTGTGTGTGTGTGTGTGAGAGTGAGAGTGTGTGTGTGTGTGTGTGAGAGTGAGAGCTGAACTTGATTTCAGGGTTCTTTATAGGCTAACCTGCCGCCAGTTGCAGAAGCCATTAAATGCCATAACATTATATTGTTGGGTATATCATATACACACAGTTATTCAGAACCTAAAGCTCTTCTTTCATGAGCTCCTGTACAAGACTGAGAGTAATCATCAGAGAGATGTTGATAAATTCACATTAAACACGAAAGCAAGATTGAAAGGAAAGGTTTTTTACTGTAAGCATCTGTGTTTGTGAATACAGTAGTACACAGACCGAAAGAGAAGAAACACATCAAGCATGTGTCGTTGTGTAGATGTGTGTTTATTGTTTGGTTGGTGTTCAGTGAAGCACACGTTCTGATTAGTTGTGTTTGGAAAAGAGGATCAAGATAGTTCCTGTTAGATTTGTGTGTGTTACATAGAGAACTGTGTGTGCAAAAAGTGTTTTCTGAAACTGAAAACTGAGTCAAAGTCTGAGATTAATGTATGGTTTTGTAGGTTTGGTGTGTGCTTCTGCTGTTTGAGTGTCAGCTTTCAGAAACTGTGTGACGAGTGAAGATTTTGTGTGCAAGCAGCTGAAAAAAACTTTAATACTTTCGCATTTAAAGTTCAGGCTTAAAAAACAGTTTGTGAATGTAAAACAGAAAAGTAGAAATACGTGCAATAAACACACTACTGGAGAAGTCATCGAGGCCAGAGAGAGTGACATTTTCATTTTTGTTTGACTTTCATATTCTGTAAGTGAATTATTGCATAGGTTTGGTCAAATTTCATGAACAGAGCGACTCTGTTGTTTCTCTCGTCTGTTCTGCCTCATTTCTGCTCAGATTGATGAATGTGATCGAAAGCAGCATCACTCACTGAGAGAGAATGAACGAGAGAAAGAGAGAGATGAGATGATGCCAGACAGAAAGAGAAAAGAGCAGTGTTCATCAGTAAATCCTTAACAATGGGCAACTTTCATTATTTTACAAAAACGTCAACCGAGAAAATCATGAAATCATAAAAAGTGCATCTGTCAGAGAGAGAGTGTGAGAGAGTGTGTGTCTGTGTGTGTGTGTGTGAGTGTGTGTGTGTGTGTGTGTGTGTGTG